GAGTAACTATTTTGAAGGACAAACTAAGAAGACAAAGATGTCATTTGGATAATTACAGTACATGTACAGTACACTGTAATCAACAAGTTTTAGAGTTTCAACAGAAATTGCCTTTTTTTTCTGCTTTCAGTAACCTCACTTAATGACATATTCTGCACCTTTAAGAGAGAGAAAAAAAAATTGCTTTTTTTCAAGGTCAAATAGAGACTTTTACCTGTCAATCTTTTCTGCTACACGTTCATTTCCAACCAAGCTGCTCGACAAGTTGACCTGAGCCATCTCATCCAAAGAGTTGAAAATGTACTTTCTTGCTTCTTGTGACTTGATTTTGGTTTCTCTTTCATGTTCACTGCCAGTCTGTCAGAAAGTAGGAAATATATTCTTCATTGCATGCACGTGCTGAACTACAATTGTATGTGTGTTCCAGGAAATATCTTTTGCAAATGAATAGACTTATTACCATAGTTGCAGTAGACAAAAGAGTAATTATTTACCTGGGGTGTCCAATCGATGAAAATCAGTGATTGGAAAAGCAATTGATTAATTGATATCAATTGCTAAAATTAGTTAATTGGTATCACTTGGAATCAGTCAATCAATGACTAATTGATAGTCACACAAAAGCTGTTCATTGATTGCTATTGATTGGCAAAACGTGACGAAATTTGATGCGATGAGGCTATGTAACCTCAGAAAAAGTGCTCTATTGCTCAAGTAGTATCACCAACAAGACTTCACCTTCAGCTTCCATTCCAACAATCCTGAAGTTGCACTTAAAGCTTTTTTGAAAAATTTTGAACTTTTGGAGCCATTTGTCAATAGATGATCATCAGGCAAACCCTGGGTCTGTGAAATGTAGCGAATCTGCAAAACAAAATAATACATCTAGCTATGCATTGCCAGTTTGTATTCAACATTTGCCACATTTTTCTTTAGTAATTATTACTAATTAGAAGACTTTAAACCTGTGTTTAACATTGTACTCAGTAGTACAAATATTATGCAGATATGGTTATAAATAATCCTTATAACTGTAGACTAAAAGACACAAATACATTAAGTGGACAGTGGTTGATCAAGTGCTCATGCGAACTTGGGAGACCTCAGAGAACTCTTAAACATGCTAAAACAGTGTGCAGATTTACAAATCTACATGTACTGCAAGAGTGTCATCCTCCCTGGGAATTAAGCTAATTTCAGATAGCAGATGAATGTAAATATCAACTTGAAGTTAGAGACATTTTTGAGAAAATTTTCTAGTTCAAAAGTTGTCAATTACAGACCGTGACGATGAAAAATCCTGTCAGGAAGCACATAATGTATCAACATGAAAAACTTGAAGATCAAGAAAACTGATTTCTCCATATCTTAAATTCCTTGAATGCACATGACTGTACACAAAAGCAAGAGTTAGGAGATATTTCAGTACAACACACTATACATTGTACATTCAGTTACCTGGTCATATTCTGAAGAGCCTGGGTACAGTGGCCACCCCAGAAATAATTCTGCAATTACACATCCCAGAGACCATGTATCAATTGCTTCACAAAATGGCAGACCAAGAATGACCTCTGGTGCTCTGTTGAAATCAAAGAAACCATTGGTACATGTATGACTAATATTTATATCTTTAAGACACAATTTAGCCCGCTTAGTGGCGAACTTGTATCAATCAATCTTCTTTATTTGTACTCACTCTTGCTAAAAAAAAATCACCATGTTCAATGAAAATATTAAAAGTAAAAATTAGAGTTGGCTGGAATAACAATAGGGGCTAGCGGAGCCAGGCAGCCAGCTAACTTGTTAACCTGTAGGTATGAGTAAGAGTATCCTGAAAGTGAATCTGTAAACAACATTAGCTGTATTGACTAAAAGAAATTAAACAGTTTGCGGAAGCCAAGTTGAGTCCTGCCATTAGGATGTGAACCCATGATCTTCCACACAACAGATGAATATGACTGCCTGCTAAGGGAAATATTATGACCTCACAGTGTTTTAAATAAGTTACAGGAGATGCAAAAGTGTTATATTTCTACATGTACCTAAGGTTGTGTTCCACTGGGATAAACCGTTTCAACCGCAACCCGTTTGGGTTGATACAAGTGGAAGAGCAGCTGAGAGAAAACTCACAGATATGAATTCCACCCGCTTCTTAGGGCATGCTTCAGGTTTAAAACATTGACTGTTATTAACTTGCATTTTACAATGTTTTTCAGTAAAAAATGAAAAGCTATGTGTTCTGTAATGTGCAATACCTAAACAAGAGAAATGGCAACAAAGCCTTGCACAATTTAATATTCCAGAGTGGTATATCATAATAAACTGGGGAAAAGAAAAGTTACAACATTTGTAAAATTTCTAACACTTATTGAGGACAGATCTAGCTTTTTCCCCTCCTCTAGAGTCATTAATAATAATAATAATAATAATAATAATAACAATAATAATAATAATAATAATTTACCAATTTATATAGTGCATATTTACATATTCACATATTGGAAGTTAATCATTTGAGGAACATATTTGAAACATTCAAGATGCAGTTCAATATTCCCAGGACTATCATGAATCTAAAGGTGTACAACAATCAGTACTGAGAAATAATATTTTGATATTGACTGAAAAGGATAAGCAAAACTAAAAGAATCAAAAGTACATGTACTTTTAAAGAAACATCAATCAACAAATAAATGAAGTTCTTTGGAAGTAATTAATGTCTGTAAAATGGCACTTTGACATCATGGAAAATAAAATAGTTGTCTCTATCAAAGGAAGCACAATCTAAAACTTTATAATCAAGCTTGCAAAAAAACTCCCTGAAAACCCTAGATCACAAAGTCATGCTTTCAGAAATTTTTTGTGTGGCAACTAATTACTACATGTAAATGTATGATAAAACAGCAAATGCAACATTTATAACAAAATGTTAGTTACATATATTATTTGAACAATGCAAACTAAAGATTAAAAACACTTCAACTTTAGACACCAAGCTATTATATATTTTATGATCAAGTACTCTTGCAATAATACATGTCTCTACAGGCATTCTGAATTGCTCAAAAAGTATTTGTTGTAACATGCTGTTTGGCAAGTGAGGTTTTTCAAACATGTTTGACATCCTTTCAATACTTGTACCAATTAGAAGGGATTCAATCAACGATTATGCAATAGGATTCCCAATTCCAAACAAATTAAGGATGTCTTAGTTAGCTGGAAACAACTTTATAATCCAGAAGACACAAGTAACTCAAGAGTGTAAGACTAAGGTGGTCTCAAATTTACAAAATTGCTGCAATTGGGCTCAAGGAGAAAAAATGGATTGCACTGTCTAATAAAATGCCAAACATGTAATTATTAAATGAACATTTTTCAGAAGGTCCATAACTTTAATATTGTATGTAAGGGTTAGCCCCATGAAATCAATGACCTGAACGCTAAATCAAATCACTATGGTGCATATTTACTTTACATGATTTTTCAATACCTTTAATTTACATGTACATGTACACAGTCTTTGTATGCCAATTTTTACAATAAAGTTCCTTTCTACCCTTTACAAAACAAAATTTACCCAGCACCAGTAAGACATTTCATACACATGAGCATCTGTTTGGACAGCAATTTTTTTTTTTAAAAAATTATATTGGTGAACTACAGTAAATAATTAATTATAGCAATGAAAAACGATGACTGATGTATGTACAAAATACAGGCTTGTGATGTATGTACATATGTGTTGTAGGTCAATTTGTTTATTAGGTCAATGTACTATCAATCAAATGATACTCAATAATTTCCCACTGCAATAAAAATTATAACGTTAAGAGAGGAACCCTTAGCTGGTTTTCACGTAGGTCCTCCATCCAGGTTGAACTGGAATTTAATTTTGAATGATGTGACAATGGTAATTCGTTTCATGTTTCTATGAAGTACGTTATTNGGGGGGGGGGGAGGGGGGGGGAGGAAGACCAGACAACCCGGAAAAAAACCCTCGGAGCAAGGCGAGAACCAACAATAAACTCAACCCACATATGACACCAGGCCGGAATCGAATCCGGGCCACATTGTTGGGAGGCGAGGACTCTCACAACTGCGCCAACCCTGCTCCCCTAATATAGTTGAACTTATTTTTAACTTTAACCTTAACACTTTGTAGTTAACTATACTATAAGTGTATACATCTTACAGAGGCCTACACATCTATAAGCTTTCTAGTTTCTTTTGGGTCTTTTGGCTACTTTAGTTGTTAAAGTTTCTTTTGTACATTTTTGTAATATTCTTTTGTACCACAAATAAATTAATAAAATTAAAGTGTATAAGTGTGTACATTTATATAATTCTGTTTGACTTACAACAATAAATAATATTATGAGAAGTTCACTCAAGGCTCAAGGCTAATACAAACTTAAGCTTGCATATTTTCCCAAAATGAAAATGCATATTTTCTCGGGGGGGGGGGCAATGGTTCTTGGTGTTAATATAATATAATAAAATTAATATTGACATTTTTTTTTGGAAGGAGCCATGCATCAAAGGTGACTTTCAGGAGGCCCCTCAAAATATACATGTAAACAATGAAAAGTGAAAATGATAAAAAAAGATATAAGAAAGCAAAAGTGAAAGAAACAAACGGTCAAAAGAAAAAAGCAAATGTTCCATTTACTTCAATCAATAGTGTTGTCTGCCTTACCGAATTTTCGTGATTTACTGGCTAACCCTATTCCGTTCAGTGTCCACACTAGGTTTTGCAAAAAAAGCCTCCTGGGCCTTGCGGCTTCCAAATTTTAGGGGACCTACACAATTTTTAAGCATAATCCGCATAAATTGACAGTCTGAGAAAAGTCCTTTTGGTGCCAGTTTTCATCTGAAAGCTTTTGCATCATACAATGTAATCTAATTTGAATCCTTCATATGTTAATTCATTCAAGTTTATTAATGAGAATCTTCAATCACTCACTTTACTTTTCTTGGATAAAAGTTAAGGCCTTTAGGATTGTTGTTTTGGTACAATTTGGTAGCTTTATGGTTTTTTCTTTCGTATTTTCTTCTGTTATTTAATTTAATTTAATTTTATTTGAGTTTAACATAATTTTGTGCATCCAAAGGTAGTGAAGGGCCTGTGCTTGTGCATCCTACAAAAGTTTTATGTGTAAATATGCAAGATTTACAAGTGCATTAATGAGAACTCTGATCCCATTCATAAGCAAATTGCTCAGGTTCTCAGCTACCTCATTTGACATGACAGCTGATGAGTTATTATTGGCCTATGGCTGTTTCATATAGAAAACAAAATATGATTAGAGGTGTACAGAGAAAAATTGCAAGGATGGTCAAACAGGCCTTTGTCAAAGAAATGGTTTTGTCAATTTCTTTTAAAAGCAATAAATTTTAGAGATGTAGCAATTAACACCCAGTTTTGAAACACATGTCTGCAGCTGATCGATGTCTTGCTGATAACATGTCATAGCACTGGTCACTAGCAAATTACTACATCCAAGCCCTTTGCAGGTCCGGAATATCAAATTTTCATATTGTCACATTGTTTCTCGTTTTAAACAAAAATTTAAGGGTGCTCTCCTTCCCTGACAATCATGGTGATTTACATGTACCCTTGAGATGGTTCAACAAACAACAAGATTTATTAAAAAACATTATCAGCTATGCATTGGCAATGCTAACCAAGAAAATAAATATATTTTTTTTAAATCCACATTCTTCTTTTCACATAGTGTAAAACTTGTTTTCCTTCTTCACACAATATGAGATGTCAAAACAAAGACATGCATTTTTCATGTTTTCTAAGTGGATCAGAATTTCAAACCTGTATTTTATTTTTCTATCTTCTATATCCTTGCTTTGCTATGCAACATAGTTGTTCAACATCAGATTTCTCCCTACTACATTTCTTTATTGTTAAGCAGGAAGGTACTGAGAAAAAAGAAAATCATCACCACTTATTAGGAGATTCTCACTGATTGAAATTATTGCCAAAATTCTAAGCTAGATAAAATAAAAGAGAAGATAGGTTTTTCTTTGCCACAATATTTTCTCTTAAATTTTTAAAATTGTCCCCCAGGTTTTAAACCCTCAAGGCAGTGTTGCAATAACTCCTGCCCTCTCTTGAGTCCTTCAAGAGCGACCAACAATATTTTGGCAAGTGAAAGGACAACATTGGTAATGTTCCCATTTTCATTCAAATTGCAGCGCAGGCGTTATTTGAATTCCTGAATTACCTAAATTTCCATTTTTAGTTTGCAAGTTCTCGTTATCATTTTTGGAGCAAAATGTGGTAATGAAATAATCTGTCAGCTTTGTGAGAACAAAATCTGTCGAAGTTTCAGCTGCTTGCCCCGTAATTGACGACCCTTTTGTTTTGAAGGTTACTTAACATTTCCAAGTGTATCTATATATACAGTACTTTACAGCCTAAAAAAAATTTCAAGTTTCTGGGGAGCCTTTGCGAATTTTGCAGCAGATCCAAGAATAGACAAGAAGGCACATGTATACAAAACTGAAGAAAAATTTAATAGGTTCCACTTTTATTTACAATGGGAATTTTTTTCTTGCTCTCAACAAGTGTAAAGCCAAAAGAAAGATATGAGCAGACACATATACCAGGTCTAATACGAATTAGCAAGCAAAACATCACGTAGATGTACAGAACTTTGTTTTCATCCGACAAAAACACATAATAAATCAAAGAAACCGCAGACATAATGAAAGCAATCGCAGTAATCTGCAACTACTGTCAGTAAAGAATAATTATTTTTTTAAATATTTTTCTGCGGTCAAAATATTTCAAAATCTTAAAATAATATTAACAAAAAAGATAGAACTTGCCCCCAGTAGGGTTTTAAAATACCAACGAGGAGGGCAAATCTGTTAAGAGCTTACCTGTAATATCGACTTTGAAGATACGAAGAGCAAACAGCTTTAGATACTTGCGTTGCAGAACCAAAGTCAATCACTTTTACACGAAACGGCTGCTTTTCTGGATCAACAAGCATAATATTTTCGGGCTTCAAGTCTGCGTGGATAAGTCCCAGGGATTTTAGCTTTGACAATGCGACCAGAACTTGCTGAACTATTGGTCGAATGTGTCTCAAAGGCAATGGGTTAAACTTGGATTGTTTTAGGTAATCGTAGAGATTTTGTTGTAACATTTCGAACACCAGACATGTGTGATTCTTGTGCTGAAAGCATTCGATCGCGCGAACAAAATTAAAAGCCTCTGAATTCTCGGCGCTCAACTTGGCCAAAATACCGATCTCTATTTGTCCCTGTCGAGCATACGAGGGGTGGTCTTTTAATATTTTGATGGCGCAAAGCTCGTTCGTGCCTTTTTTCCAACATTTGACGACTTGTCCAAATGTTCCGCGGCCCAGGAATTCGAGAACTTCGTACCGCGATGTTGCTGAACACAACTCTTCATGAAGCACTACTTTGTAGTCTCCCTCGCTGTTGCTATTGCCAGTAGTTTTGGAATTCTGTCGCGACTTTTTCCCATTAGTCTCAGGGACTTTCAAGCCACATCGCTTATACGTGTTCACAAGGTTTTGTGTTAGACTTCGCAGAGCGTTCGTAGCTGTATCAACATGGATTTTGTTCGCACAAAGGCCCGTGTAGATTGTTCCATTGGGCCTATTGAAAGAAGAAAATGCACTCGAAGAATGGGTTATCAATTCGGCTTGAGCCATTCTGTACTCAATATACATTAAAAAAGATTTTGTTCGGCTCTATGCGATGGCTTTGTCCTCGAAGCCATTAAAACATATGAAATGTGCCTTGTTCATTCGAAAGTAAATAGTGAACGTAGATTTCACCACGATTCCACCCGTAATAAACCACTCTGACCTTCACCGTTTCCCATACGCCATTAGCTTCTTGATTTCCTTCTTAACACACAATCGTTTGAATACTAACTAGCCAGACAACACTAAGTTGAAGTTTTTTCGCGTTGTTTGTGTATTGCCTAATGAAAATCGGCTGGTTTTCGTCAGTGATTTCCCTCGGGTCGCGTACACATCCAATAGGACATAACGTTCGCTGTTTTTGACAACCAAAGCGAGCAGCTAGCCATGGATTCCATCTTTGCTTTGGTTGAAATGCAATAAAAGAGTACCAGGATTTAAAGAGTACCGTGTGAGTCCAATACTCTTCAACAATATTGCTTTAATTGGTCTTCCGCCGTCGAGGATAAACTTTGATCAAAAGATGGTACGAGCGAATCGCTTCTCCAATATTTTCCACTGATCCTTCGAACTTCAAGAAAAAATATTTTCTCGATGAGGAGATGTTCACCACTGCTACTGAAGCTTTCAATTCTTTGTTTTTGTAAACTTTTAGCACCAGTGTTCACTTCCCTTCAATCGTAAAGACTTCACAAATGGTCTACCAGTTTACCATATGTAATATTTAAGATAAGTTCATGAATAGTTGATGGCTTGCTTCCATTGCCAGTTCAGTTTCCTTGCTAGACTACAATACCGATAAAAACACTCTCCGAGACTCCACTCTGAGTCTAAGGCGCTTATCCTTGCTGCGATGAAAATCGGCGAAAAGATTTTAATCCGCAAGGATTCTAAGAACCAAAGAGATTGTAATCAATGAATGTCGATCGCTTTCCACGAAAATATTCTTGTTGTTCGAGCACCAAGTTATGAAACAACATCTACTAGTAAATGAAACCAGTTGCGTCCTTTGTTCAGTTCAAGGCTAACAAAAATGTTCTTAGTTCCTGCTGCACTATCGGCACGACAAACTCCGTGAATTTCCACACAAACGAGGACTTCAGCGAGGCCAGGAAAGTGCGAATGGGCCAATTGATGTTGTACGAAAAATTATACAGTCTCGCCAAATGTTGAGCCGTGCAATCTTCACTCACATCCTTTCACCAATGGTTCGAATGGCATTAACTTTCACCCCGATCGGAAACGAAAATCGCCAGCTACAAGCTATGTAAACTACATCCTCAATGCACTGAATGCATGGTGTTGATTTTGTAAGCACAGCAAAGCGCGCGCCATGTTTGCTACTGTGACGTAGCTAGTGTGGGTTTCTGACCAATCAGAAACCGATAACCGAGTTTTTGGTTCATGACGTCAGAAAGTACGTCATTAGTTGCCAAGACAGGAATTGTGGGGCGAGAAATTTCACAAAAAGCGTATTTTCAGAAAGAAACAGCTAATATTAGAACCAAAGATTAAGAAGAAGAACCGGCAAAGATGAAACATTTTTCTCTTTCCACTAAATTAGGGAAAATGATGAATTATTGAAATTTTAGCAATTTTTTTTTAATGCAGAATTTTCTATACCACTATTGTGGGCCGACTGTCGCCTCTATTTGCATAAGGAACCCATTCAATGTACTGGAAAATTTAAATTAGCAACAATATTATCCGCCGATACCAATAGCTCCACGTAAACTCTGCCTGAAAACAAATAAAGACAGAGACCGTTGCCTACGCAAGCTGATGCACAGGGTGATTTTTAAACCCCATTAACAACATTTTCCTTCTCTACCATGACGTTTTCACAATTTAATAAACCAAGTTTTGACAATATTGCAAAGAAAAGAACGATCTAGGCTACCTCTCCAGTAGATTGCTAATGAATGCATTCGCAGCTGTCAGCCATTCAGGGCACTAAAACAGCTAAAAAAAAAAACACTGAAACGGCTTTAAGAACTTTATTTTTATTATTATTATTATTATTATTATTATTATTATTATTATTATTATTATTATTATTATTATTTTCGGTTCGCGAAGTCTTGACGCGATTCTGATAGCTGACAGCCACACTGACGAAAATAGCAGAGCGGCGGATGTCCAGTGGCCCTTGTACACCAGCCGAATGGTTTCCTGTCCGCTTGTCTTGACGTAGTCTTTACAAGGCTTATCGATAATTTGCAGGAGCCGACTTCTTTTACTATCCATGAAGAGTATCCGGTGATTTTTTATTGTCATTGAAAACCTCCTGGTTATTAACCTGTACAACTGACGCCGAAAATTGTTTTTTATTTTCTAACGTACTTGTTCTAGTGAACTGAAAATGGACGCAGATTTCATTGTTATGAAAATATCCTTCAAAATAATTAGTAAAAGGTTGTGGTTTTTAATTGCATTTCAAATGGCACTGTCGGATAACGTTGCTGATAAGGTTTGGGTTATGGAGGGCCGCCATAGATCTAGTTTTAATTCTACTGCAAATCATCAATTATGTTCCAGTTTTGTTCTCTATGGAGAACATATTTTTCTGGATTCATGCTAATTAACAAGTGAGAGAAAATTCTCAAAGAAAGAGAAAACAAACGAGCCATTTGAATTGAACAAAAGAATCAATGGTTTTTTGTGGCCGAGCAAAACATTTGTCTCTATGGTATTCACTACACGACATCCTTAAAATGAGCTGAACACGCAACAACATAGATTCAATGAAAAGAAAAACAAACATGTTCCTAATTTTGGTCGCCATGTCGAGCCATGGCATGGTAGGACCGGAAATATCAAAACCAACTTTCAGACAAAAGTAGGACCGCAATGCGTACACGGTCCCTGCGCTAATTGCCAGATCAACCATACAGGCTTCTTTTTAGTATTATTGAGGATATTTCTATTTTTTGTCATTTTGCCGAAAGTTAATCTAAAGGCATTAACATAAGCTGTTTCAAAGTAAACCATTTAGTCTGTTTTAGTAGACAGAACTTTCTTGTTGGTCAGGGTCTCTCGGAATCAATGAATTTACTTTAAAATAACCGCTGACTCAAGGAGTTGTGTTGGCAACTTAACCATAGGGACAGCGAGCTGCTGCGAAATTACAACTCAAGAACAAAGCTGCTATCACTGTATTAAGCGTTATGACTTGTGAAACATGGTGGTAAAAACCTGCTCCTATAAAGCTTAAGTTGCAGTTCCAGAGAAAATCTTGTGTTGTAACTTTTAATCAAAGACAATAGTAATTTTAAATGATGTTGTTTGTTGTTTTAAACCCTTGAATTTTAAGTGATGAACACATAATTTTTCCTCTCAATATTTAGGCATTTTCAAGCGAACAGGTGATGACAATTAAGAGGGCATTGTCTCGATGAACAACCAATTGTCAAAGCTAACGTAAAAAGTAAGTATGTCAATATAAATATGGATACGTGTGTAGTAATTTGAAATTTACCGCAAACTATCAGTGTTTACTTGGGTAGATGCTGTCCTTTTTCTAATTAACAGTGAAAATTAACGAATGAGGCCAGAGGTCTGCTACTTTTTGGACGATTTTAGTCTTCTGATTCAGAAACAATTATGCAGCACTTCTCTCGTATAATTTTCATGACTTCGTCTTGCTGGATAAATTGATGCTTGGAGTATATATATGCCTATTAATAGCATATTTTTGGTGAAAACAAACAATTTACTACTAAATGTCAACAGGGAGAAAAATTGTATTTTTTTCACATTTTATTTCCATTCAACGGCTTACATCAATTTAAAAACAATAAATAGGCTTAAAATTAATAATTGGCTATCAAGTTTACATTAGTAGCTTGCGTTATACTACAAGTGCTAAAAAAGAAAAATACGCAAGAAAAAAGACAACAAGAACAAAGGGCACACACACAAAAAATAAATGAATGAATAACTTCGTGATTACAAAGAGCGAAACAATCTAAATTATTTCTTTGGTTACTTACGTATTTAGTCTATCTACATATTGATTTGATTTCTGGCCAGGGCTAAATATCCAATTTTTTTTTCAAAATAATACGTCATATTTATTTTACGTTCAGTTTCATATTTTTCAGCTATTTTGTTTTGATAACCTTTAATTTTAGGATGTATTTGGCTTCTTCTGCAGTCCCACAAAAACAGCTTTCCAACAATAATAAAGTCATTTAGTCATTTAGTTGAAGGGCATTGCTTAGATATTACACCAAATATAACATTCTGCAAAGAAAGACGAACCTGTTGATTTGATAAAATTAAAGGCACCAGTAAGATTCAAAATCGTTCCAAAAGGTAAAGGACATGATACAAAGTTTCTGGTTCGGCCTCACAAAAAGTACAAACATCGTCTGTTCTGTAACCAATTTTGAATAATTTTTTATTTGTGTAGAGTATATTGTATGTTTTTTTGTCTTTTTTTTGCTTTCCAAAAGAGTGGTTTATATTGATGGGATGGGCGTAATTAGTTAGTTTGAACAAGAGAAGATAAGTACAATAATTCACAAGGAGATAAAATACATAGAGTGAAAACCGTTTCTTCTAAAAGCTCATTTATTCAAGTTTTGTAACAAACTTCTGACGGTCGTGAAATTTCTTAGTTGATGTTTTAGTCCTTGTACATCAATCCGTAGACATCTGTACACGATGTTCCTGCATTGTCCCCTTCAGTGAAGTCAAACAAATCTTCGCCGTACCACACTCGTAACTCAGCCATGTGATGCACACCATAGGCACTCTTTCCCATGAAGAAGATCAAGTATGGCGAGGACGAGTGGTAGCCTGGTAAAGCGTAATAATGCCTAGCCAAGGGCTGCGAGAAACGAGGCCCTACAACGTGATTTCGCTCGTCGGTGAGAAACGTTACCACGTTCGCGTGATTTGGTCTACAGCCCCAAGGACTCCTATTTACTCCGTTACAACTAACGTAGCCAGATCGGTGTTTGAGCATGAAAGCCCAGATAAACGCATTCTTGTCTGGAGTAAACGCGCCGTAGTTGTTGCCGTGGGCGCCAAAACAAACAGGACTGGTGTTGAGTTTGACCCAGGTCACCCATCCGCCACGACAACAGCAGACTACGAACATGGCACAAAATAGAACAAAGAAAACGCACTTGACTGTCATCTGTAGATTGCAATAAAGTACATCATTACTAAATTATCACAGATATGAAATGTGAAAGTGAAATGACTTCATCAACTTCCAAGGCACTGTTCCACTGTGAGCGAAAATTTCGCCCAAAATAATCCGTGTTATAATTATCCAACTGCACTCTAGTTTGGATTGAAATGACTCGCGCTAGTAACGCATCAACCCCAGGTAAAGAGACTAGAGTCAAACTATGATCTACCTGTTTCGTAGTTTTTTTTACAGGTTAGGCTGAGGTTAGCTGCTTTTCCCGATCGACTCCCTTAGTTCTCCGCAATGTGCGCAACACAAAAATTTCTGGAGTAAACAACAAATTCAGTTTCAAACTCTAATTTACATGCAATATCTCAACACGTACTGTACAGTTATTTTTACCAACCTTTTATGACTGGGTAAGTTCTCTCAATCAACAAGGTTAACTTGGAACTTTCAATAGGTCTTTAATTCTCGGCGATCGTCAGCTTTGGAAAACAATTAAGCAAGCTGCTTTGCTCTACATATCAGCTATCAATATAAACAGTTTTATTACTGGCCAGACCGATTATTTATTTTAATTCACATGAAAAATAGCGCGTTTGGATCATTGAAACCAGTCGGCCGATGTCTCGATCGCCTGTCTGAAAATTAAATCAAAACTGATCACCCCATAAATCGGTATTCGACCCGGCCAACAGATACTTTTTACGTTTCTATACCGCAAATGTTAATGTATTATACAAGAGACGAAAGTGGTCCGCCGTCTGACGAAAACCGCCAAAATGTCCCTAACTCTGAATACCCGTGAATCGTATAAATTACAAGATTTTTATTGGATCTGAAATAAACACAGCAAATGACATACTTAAACAATATCAAGTAACCGAAAACTTAATACATCATATCCACCAAGAAACACGAACACCGAGTAAACCACGTAGTCAATTACGCAATTGTTAATCACATGCGGTCGATTACCGAAATTATACTAACACAAATCAAAGGAAACAACTTAAAGTAACAAAGCCTTAGAAAACGGAAAACACAAACTTTAAAACTGACTCACTT